GTGTGTGTGTGTGTGTGTGTGTGTGTGTGTGTGTGTGTGTGTGTGTGTGAGTGAGAGAGAGAGAGTGAGCAAGCAAGCGAGAGAGCGATTCTGCACCTTTGAGAAATACATCCATCATTCAGTTAGTCAGCATTATTAAATACAGTTTCTTAAACAGTTAAAGGGTAGAACGAACATGCAAACATGGAGAGGTTAGCGTAGCACAAAACCGTTAAGTTATGTACAACGCAGGTTAAGTCATAGTTACAATTTTACCCAACTGCATAGCATTCTCCCCACACAGGTCTCAAGTGTAAAGAGTTATTTTGGCTGAAACAGCTTTCTGACAGTCTTGTTTACTGGCAGAGGCTCCCCTGTTTTCATGCAGCACTCGGGGTGATGTCACACCGATGGCACAGTTTCCCGCAGTGATCCCCCTCGGCGTCACTCACCTTCGTCTTCTTGTACATCTTGTTTCTGAGGTAGCTGAACGTCCGGCTGACCTTGGTGCCAGCCTTCCCCTCGCCATCTCCTCGCAAGGGGCCCGGGTCCTCTTCCGAAATGCTGAAAGGTCACATGACCCAATATGTGGTGCTTTAGAAAGGGCAACCCGCCACACCGAACACGTCATATATGAAGGAGAACCAGCCCCACAAGGTAATGAGAGATGTGAGGACAGTGGCCCCTCACCTGTAGGCCAGGGACCCCGAGATGCTGGAGAACGACTTGAGGCCTGGAGAGAGCAGAGATGAGATAGAAATGTGAAGATGCACTGCAATGATCTCGAATGCAATGCTCCAGAATGCAGCACGGCTCGGAACACACACCAGGTGAAGCCGTGAGTATTCGGGACAGCAGCACACAAGAGTTCATGGAGCGAAACAAAAAAAATAATAAAAATGTGCCTCTAACTGAAACTAGAATAAAACATTACCGACCATTTACCAGACAAGGGTGTGCTCTCCAAATCTTGCGAAAGAGTTAGTGTGTGTATGTATGCAGCATCTGAAAACTAATTATACTAACAGCCTGGTTTAATAAAATATTGGATTATGGTAGATGGTATTCAGAATACGCACAAGAAAACATTTTTTCCACTGCATATAGTCAATGTTGTTCTGAACTTTGCAAACCTCTTAGACCGTTGTGTAGATTTTTGTCTCGTTTTTTGACTGCTAGACCCCTTTGGTCGCTATAGATACAAATCTGAAGTTTGAAGCTGGGTAATCTAGATCGCAGGGGGCACTGGGGTTATATGCTTGAGCACGTTGCTTAATCTGAATCGCTGTGGTGAAATGTAATTGGCCTAAACAATGGTGTGAAAACATAAAACGGCAAAATGAACGTGACAGCAGCAGAGAGATTCCAGTCTTGTGAAGTGTGGAGCAGCCAGTATGAAGCACAGTCACTTTCTCACACAGAATCGGGTTTGTCTTGTGTGTAATACCACCACCCAGGCAGGACTGTCCATTAACGCAAGACACACCATGGACCACATGTTCTTCGGATCATTACAGCCAAAGGAACCCAGCCGGGAAAAACATGGCCGCCTTTGAACAAGTGAACGACATCTGCTGAACAGGACCAGCAGATCATCCGCCCTGCTTCACCACACCCTCTGGGGGCCAAGACACTGCACTCCACAGCTGGATCCAACACAGGATCCTTTCATATCGCAGCACCAAAGCAGTTCGCGTGTGTCACACTACAAACGATTTACGGCAGGAAGTCTGTCGTCCGCACAGTTCATACTTTCACAGCAGACTCTCCCAAGATGCCAGCAGGGCATTTAACACCAAGAAGGTCAATCAGCGGGAAACACAGGTATCCCCACTTTCCCCCACAATCGGCCACCCCACCCTTCAAAGCAAACCCAAATCCTAGCCTATATATCAGCCTGTACCTTTAACAAAACACTTAGTGTTATATTGTTGACAATGAACAGTGAAGGACTTTCAGTTTTAGTAAAATGACCAACCAGAAAGCAGGAAGACATGCAGATGCTTTTTTGGCATCAAACGGTGTTGGGAAAGTTACCCGCAAAAGTAAATCCATTACAGACAGAGCTGGAAAGTTCAGGTCCGGAAAAGTACAAACCCAGACAAAGGTTTCGTTTCAACCAATCAGGTGAGTGCTCCGTGGCTTTTGAAACAAAACCTTGGTCTGGATTTGTACTTCTCCAGACCTGAACTTTGGGTGGGAGGAGCAGTCCATTCTGGAATAAGGTGGATCAGGGATTGTAATAATCCAGAATGAGAACAGGGGGGGTCCAGTGTTTAGCACAGACGAAAGTTCAACTAAGAGGAGTCTTAGGTCATTTTTATTGAGGGTGGTGAAGGGGGGGGGTGGGGTAGACTGAGGGCCAACAGACTGTTCCAAGGATCCACACAAGAGCTGTACTTACTCAAAGCCTCCTCTTCATCACTGGATGAAGAGCCGATAGAAAAGAAGGTTTTAGATTTTGGGAGGATCGGAGAGATGTTGAAGGAGAAGGAGATCCGTCTCTTAGGTCGAGTCCGTCCCACCACTGGGTCCCAAACAGCCGGGACAGAGAAACCAAAGCACGCAACTTATTAGAACAGCACAAGGGCGGAGACAGATGCCCCCCCCCAAGGCACACCACGCCCAGCAGTGCACCTGCAAGGGGGTGAGGGTGCAAGGGGATGAGGGTGCAAGTGACCAACCGCGAGGAGGAGCGCGTGCAGCCTAATACAAGAAGCGCGAGCGCGGGGTACAGAACCCACCACCATACTGGCTCGCCTTATGGTCACACACACACAGATACACGTGGGGGAGGCAGGCAGGACACAGGGCTGAGCGTGTGACACCTCGGCCTGCAAAGCAAGGCCCCAAAAATAATGGTCCTCTCTCACTTCCCCCTTTCTAGCCACACAGCCAATCAGGTCGCGTGTATGGTTTTTTTGGGGCGGAGCCCAGACTCAAACCTGCATTCTGCCCCAAAACCGTGGAACGAAGCTTTCAGCAGAGTGATAGGGGTGGGGTAGGTGGCAGCTGAACATGTGACTTTCAGGTGAACGTGGACACCAGTACACGGGTGCCAGAGAGGGGGGGGGATAAAGGTAGCAGCGGGGGGGGTTACTCACCATCCAGCTCCTTCTGACTGATGGTGAGCATGGAGATGGACTTGGTGAGGGGCAGCGTTACGGACGAGCAGCTGCGGAGCTTAAGGTGGCCTGACTTCTGCAACAGAACCAGAAGAAAATAAGATCTAGTGCAGAATACTATCAGGAACTTATAAGGAATGTGCAATCATGTACCATGACACCAATACTGTCATCTACAAGCCCTGCTGCGATGACATGAAGAGCGTAATCCTGTCAACCGCTGAAATGTGCATCAGGAAGACAGAGGGGACACTGGGGGGCCCAAGTCAGGTATCACACAGCATCTACCTCACTGTCCAAGCTGCTGCAATCACCCAGCTCATACTCCTGCTCCTCCTCCGTGAGGGACACCAAAGAGCCCCGCTCCTCGCTCTCCATCCGGGACGGCCGCTGCGGATCCTGGGACATGGCGCCGGGCCGGGCGAAGTCTCTCCCCACATCCCTGTCCGCGGTCAGGCCTTCCAAACTGTAACTGGAGTAGCGATAGCACACAGCGAGCGAGGTCAAAAGGCAGCACCGACGGCACGGTCTACTGACTGGAAACCCCAAATCCCATCATCAAGGACGGCCAGGAAGTTTTACCCTCGACCTCAAGCTACTGGAGATGCAATCGTGCGTGAGAATGTTAGTGACACTGTCAGCAAGACCACTTAATGCCCAAACCCCGAACAGCGTCGTCGTGTTAGTGTGTCGACACATCATAAGAGGGTGTGTGTTAAGAC